AACAAAATAGTTTATCAAATCAGAGCTCTAGCACTTGTGAGGATCTCAGTTATATATAGAAATCCAGGATTAACTGTAATTGCCAGGAGCAGAGAGTCTCTCCAGACGGGGTATGCTAACCCACAAAGAAGCTTAAAGAATCTCTCTGTATTAGATTGTTTAGTCATTCACAGATTCAGGTTCACAGAGTTTAATAGAGCTCTAATACGTCTGTATACCATACCAACCAAACGCGCGGCATCCAGACTTTCACAAACTGAAGTGTGCTACATCATAACCAAGGGATTGAACTATGAATTAATACAAGGCATCCTCTGACTGGCTGAGATGGAGAGGCAGGTGGAGGTCATCTCAACCACTTGACACAGGCCAATTCTGATACTTTTCACATACGTGTAAAAATCAGCATTTGTTACTAGAAAATTACTTAGAACCCCCAAATGAAATACATTTTCTGAAAGCAAAGGAAAAAAATTTTGGTTGTTGCAATTTTTTATGTCACATGATATTTGTGCAGAGGTTTATCAAACACAAATTTTTTGGAAAAAATACACTTTAATGAATTTTAGTACAAAAAACTAAATCTAATACCCTGCTGTTCGGTAAGATATAAATGATGATGTTACGAAGAATAAAGAGATACCTAACATGTCACGCTTTAAAGTTGTGCATGGAATAGCAACAAACTATGGTGTAGCATCTTCTATCATTTTCTACTCCCAAATCAGTTCCTCCACATCCCCCCTCCCTCTCTGTTGACTGACACGTGGTCCCTGGATGCTGAGCTCAAAAAGGCATCAAGACCCAGCGGGGGAGCTCCTGGCTATAAACCCCAATTAGCCTGGCCCCCATATGTCTGCGAGACTCTGCTTGGAAAAGGATCGTAAAGCCATAAAACCAAGTTCTTCACTAAGCTCAAAGACATTCCAGGTAGTCGTAAACCAGACATCACATTCAACATCCATTTTCCCCTACGATTTCATATCTTGGAATATGCAGTATATCCAGTATCCTGTCTTACATAAAAAAAAACTAGGCATATATTCAGACTGGTCACTTTAATACAAGTCATCTGATATATTACACCCCCTAGCTGACATCTACAGGAGAGCAGAAACTGATATCTCCTTAACCATCCCAGCAGGTATGTCATATTTCATATCTAGACGTTCAGCAGATGATTTTGCGTATTAATCTACCAGTGAATAGAATGTTACATGTACCTAGGAAAAGTTATTGACCATAGTATAATTTGCAAGGGATTTGGTCATAGCCTGAGCTCCCCGCCTACAACACCCCTCCTCAAATGAGGTAATTGGTTCTCTGCTTTAAGGAGACACCCTGCTGAGTTCCTAGAAAAAGGCTCTTATGCTTGGCGTTAAGCTAAGCTGAGTTGAGTTGAAGTTGAAGAAGCTGCCTTTTAACATCGGAACTAACTTTGAGAGATAAGGCCCTTTTGTTCGGACACTTAAAAGCTGCTTAAACCAAGGCTGACAGCAAGTACTTTAATCCCTCTAAACTTCTTTCTGTTACCTATTTGCTGTGTTATTGCTCTCTGTATATTTATATATATATATTGGCTACATCTTTTTCTGTAAATATTTTTATTGCACCCTTTTGACCTTTTAGTAATAAATCTTACTTTCTGAAAGAGTTGAACTGTTTCTAAAGCTCTTTAATGCAAACTAAGAACCCCTGTCTCTGAAGAGCGCTACTGTGTGTGTTTAACCCTCAGTATACCCTGCCTGCGGTGACAGTGGTATACAGACAATTATTCAACCATCATAGTGTTATTGCTGATATTGCCGAGTTTCCTCTTTCTCTGTACAAAAAGGAGGTGGTGGCAGTGTGAAGGGTTAATTGCGTAATTAACCTGATCCAGTAACAATTGCTCCCAGGCTGCAAGTACACAGATTGTGGACCATTAGCTGGAAAATCTTTGTGCAGGGTGCAGCTGGACATGGCATTGTTACACACGTGACAGCGCAGTTTTAGATTGGCTACTCCTTCGGTCTGAGAAGGGCTGGGGTCTGACTTCGCAATCGTCACATATGGTACTTAAAAATCTGCACAGGTGACATTTTAAAAGCCTTTAGGATTAATGTACACTGCAGCTGATAAACTCACATTCAGGTGCTTTTCTGCGTTTTTTTCAACAGCCCCTGAACTCTCCCTAATGTTTTCCTATGTGTCCATGTACACTATGTCATTTACAGATGTTTACAGGCAGTTGAGTTTACAGTCGTTTTTTTTACTCCTGAACGCACCAAACTTGTGTTCAGGAGTAGATTTTATCAGCATTTCAAACGCCAAACACTTGTAAAAGCGGCTAACCGCGTTTATAAGCGTTTGCATTTAGAAGCGTTGTTTATCTGTTCCATATACAAATGCTGTCCACGGCCTTTTTTCATCATCAGAAATGCATGCAAAGTGTTTTCCATGTATTCAAATGGACCCGGTACACCAGCGCAGTCAGTTCCAGGTTTTGTGTGAAGGAAAAAATGGTAGAATGTGCCGCATTATGCTCATGATGGGATCCATAGTGAATACAACCAGAAAAGACAGGGCATCTCAACACATACTGCTCTCTCTGCTTCTCCTCTCTCTATTCCTCTCAAAATGTCTGAAAAAGTAAATTTTTTACTGTTTTTCAGTGCATTCTAGGCATTTTGGAAGGTCTCCTGGTGTTATCTTTAAAAAACGCTTCTAAACGCAAACTCACATAAATGCAGTATGCAAATGCGGCTAAACAGACATTTTTTAACCTGTGTTTTCCAGCAGTCAGTTTCCATTGTTCAGAAGTGTTTTCCACACGTCCCGTGTACATGAGCTCTTACGGGTTACCAGTTTAGAGTTACACAGGATGTCTGGTTCTAAAATGATTGTGCTCACTCAGATGTTTGTGGTGATACCTCACATGTGTGGTGCAATTGTTGTTTACATATGTGTGCATGACTGATGTGCTCGTTTGCATGGGGGGGCTTGGACACGTTACATTTTAAAAAAAAATTATTTATTTTATTTACATTTTTTTTTTTACACTCTCTTTAACTTTTTGATCAACTTTATTGCTGTTGAATGAACAACATTCCTTGTGATTGCATGGGCAGTGGACACGTTTCAAGAGTGCACCCTCAGGCTCTCTGTTTATCAGTGCACTTGCTGTTTATTTTGAAGCTTGTCACACAATGCTCAAAAAAGTACATGAGTTGCACATTTATGGTAACTATTGAATTAATTGGGAGAACCTGACAAATACCTGAAAAACAAGCATGCAATTACTTGCCTCACTTTCACCTACTAACTAGCTTTCCATTGGCTAGAACAAAAAATCTGGAAGCCTGAAAATGCTTGAAAAACACGTATCAAGGCGCATAAAAGACACAACAAAAATGCTTGAAGAAGCTCAAGTGTGAACCTAGCCTAAATCACAAAGCTTATTACTTTTATTATGCGCATCCATTCACCAGCCACTTTATTAGGTACACCTTCCTAGTACCGAGTTGGACCCCCTTTTTCCTTCAGAGCTGCTTTAATTCTTTGTGGTGTAGATTCAACAAGGTATTGGAAACATTCCTCAGAGATTTTGGTCCATATTGACATGAGTTACTGTTGCCTTTCTATCATCTCGAACCAGTCTGCCCATTCTCCTCCTGCCCATCTCTGACATCAACAAGGTATTTTCATCCACACAACTGCCACTCACTGGATATTTTCTCTTTTTCGGACCATTCTCTGTAAACCCTAGAGATGGTTGTGTGTGAAAATCCCAGTAGATCAGCAGTTTTTGAAATACTCAGACCAGCCTGTCTGGCACCAACAACTATGCCACGTTCAAAGTCACTTAAATCCTCTTTCTCTATTCTGATGCTCGGTTTGAACTTCAGCAAGTTGTCGTCACCACGTCTAGATGCCTAAATGCATTGAGTTGCTGCCATGTGATTGGCTGATTAGCAATTTATGTTACCAAGCAATGGAACAGGTGTACCTAATAAAGTGGCTGTTGAGTGTATGAAGGTACATTGCAAACGAGTCTTATGATAACTGTCCTCCAAAAAAATGATATTTCTTACAAAAAGAAAGTTTACAATCTTACAAGTTTTATATCATTTTGTAACTATTTCTAAAAAAATATATACATGATACTGTGTTTGTAAGCATGCTGAGATTCCTCATAAGAAATCACAGCAATGCCTCTGGGATGCCCAGTAATGGATGTTTATACAAATAGGAAGAATGTTAATTGGACCAACTAGTTGCAAGTTTATTTTGATGTCATCTGTTGACCTTAGAAGGTCAGCAGAATCAGTCAGTTTAAAAACTCCTCTAGGATATTGTTTTACTATATGTTTCTATTTAAATTATAAAATAAAACTATATGAAATGTTTACCAGACCCCCTATCTCCCCACAGTAGCAAGGGGTATTTCAAGGTACCCAGAGACTTGAGGTCCAGCTAGATCTGGTAACAACTGTCATGTCTGGGGGTGATTTATAATGCCCCAGACACCCCTAACTTAACCCTGGAGAAATAACAATCAGCCCTGTTAGATGTTTTCTGATCAGCGCTATTGTGTCCCCCAAAATTAAAAAAATACTGTATAATTTTAGGGGACACAATAGCGCTGATCAGAAAACTTCTAACAGGGCTGATTGTTATTTCTCCAGGGTTAAGTTAGGGGTGTCTGGGGCATTATAAATCACCCCCAGACATGACAGTTGTTACCAGATCTAGCTGGACCTCAAGTCTCTGGGTACCTTGAAATACCCCTTGCTACTGTGGGGAGATAGGGGGTCTGGTAAACATTTCATGTAGTTTTATTTTGTAATTTAAATAGAAACATATAGTAAAACAATATCCTAGAGGAGTTTTTAAACTGACTGATTCTGCTGACCTTCTAAGGTCAACAGATGACATCACGCATAAAATTACATGACAGGTGATAGTTGATGTCACCTGTGATTTTTTTTACATTATGGTACTTTTGTTTGCTTTAGGTAATGGCACTGACGTCTTGGTTCAGGTGGAATGACTCCAATTTAAGACTATCTCAGAGGAACCCCTCTGACATGGTGGTGGATACACTTATGATGGAACTCAGCTGGCAGATGAAGCAGGCCGAAAAAACAGCATCGTGAGAAGGAGAATGAGTATCGGAAGATCAAGACTGGGGTGGACTACAGCTGGCTGGTTAGCTACCCAAAGCACAATTATGACATCACTCCGGGAGAAAGGCTACAGTTGGAGGAGTCCTGCAGCAAGATCCACCCATCCTACTGCGGGCCAGTAATCCTCAGGTAAAAAGTCTGCCTTTTACGCTTTTTATTTGCATAGTTTGCCCAACAGGTGACAAGTCAACAGTCTGAAAAAGGTGGTCTCTCAACCACTCCTGAGCTTTGTATTGCTAAACCCAGCCCACCTATGGCAACAAAATTCAGTGATAGCACCCAGATTTGGCACTGAAGAGCCTTTCATTGGAAAGTTAGATGGTTTGGGCTTGACATTGGGGCAGGACTTAGCCGCAGGGTCAAGAAGTAAAGCCATTAGCATCAAACTATACCTAAAATTAAAAAGGCACACAGAGGAGGTTTTTCCAGCTAACTGTAGTTTCCAACACTTTGTGAAAATGTTCTTAGACAGAACTTTTAGTAATTAGAAGGCCAACAGGGTTACTTTAAAAATACAGTCACATAACTATTTAGACTTAAAGTGACACTAAACTCTGTTTACTGTAAATAGAAAAAAAACTATTCAAGTATGTATTCTTAATTTAAAAATGTACTTTGTATTGCTCTCACTTTCTTCAACATCTCCAAATGTATTTGCTTTTGCTGCTGTGCTACAACTTTCTGTTAGAGGGTGGCTACATTTGTTCTTCATGGTCCCACTGTACATGTAAGAACATAGCCACCCTCTCTTGCAAGATGGCTAATGGACCGTTAGTTCATAGTTCCTAGCCCATCATGTCCTGTTTTGACAAGTTATTAGCTCTAGACAAGTTCTTTGATTACATGACGTTGTGTAACATGATCATAATGGTAATTTTGACATTTTTGGTGGTGTTCAGTTTGAGAAAGTATATCCAAAGCCAAAACATTTTGGACATAGTAGTGGGGGTTAAACCACTGTTAGGTTTTTATTTTTTTTTAACATCTGTGTTTCATTAGAGAGATTCTCCTTTCCTTCCTGTTCTGTAGACTTAATGGTTGAGAGGATAACTTTCTTATGACAGGGATATCTCCTCGTAGTTGTCATAGACTACCCCCACTGGAAAATGTATCCTCTATTCCAGGTTTTCTATTGGCAATTCAAAATTTGGTGTTTTACCCTTATTTTTAGTCCTGGTGACATTAGTGATCAGGAAAATTGGAGAGAGCGAATCTCCGTAATAGGGACACAGACAGCAATAAAAACCTGGCAGTGGTTCTATTCCCTCCCCACTATATAAGAACAAATTGCCTTTAGTTATAATTTAGAGTGTATATATACCGTGCCAACTTTTCTTATTTGCTTCCTTTTGGTCCTCTAAATATACTATGTAAAGCTTGTATGTTATATCTGCTGGATAAGTGCAAATAATTCCTGTTGATTTTGCCAGAAATGCTGTGAGCTGATAACTGAGCCCAGATTTCTCTTCACGTCTTGTTCTGCCTCATACCCATGAAATAGACAAGAAATGGGGAAATTGTCTCTCAATTCCTGTTCTGTCAAGTAGGCAGAACATAAGGATAAATCTTCCAAATTGGGTCACATACAGGAATAAAAAGTTGAAAAAAAACCCACTTCCAAATGTTTTTGCTGGAGTTAAGCCTTAAGTAGAAGGAAAAGTTAAACTATAAACTAACTTTTAAATGTGGCTTCCCCTGCATATATATCCTAATAAATTGCAATGTAAATTAAAATACTATTTTAAAGTTTTCTATGCAGTCACATGATCCCAAAGCTTTAACTCATTTGTGGAAATGTGGAGGGCTGACAACACTCCTGAATTCCATGGAGCAGCGTCATCCATTGCTTTAAGCCAGGGGTCCACAAACAAGGGGGCCAGTAAACAGTCATACAGACTTTGGTGGCTGGACTGTGGCCAGTAAGAGTAGAAAATGCCCAGCAACAGTGGGAGTAAGCAACGTCTTGGGCTTGATGGTCAGTGGGGTTTAAAAACTTACACAGAACCTGTGGTCAGCAGGAGGAGAAATAGTGCTCCATTGTCAGTGTCAGCGGGAGGAATCGTGCCCCATCATTGGTGTCAGTGAGAAGAATAGTACCCCATTGTTGGTGTCAGTGGGAAGGATAGTGCTCCATCATTGGTATCAGTGGAAAGCGGGAGGAATCATGCCCCATCATTGGTGTCAGTGAGAAGAATAGCACCCCATTATTGGTGTCAGTAGGAGGAATAGTGTCCCATCGTTGGTATCAATGGGAGGAATAGTGATCCATCACTTACAGTTGTGTCCAAAATTATTCAACCCCCACTGAAATTGAGTGTTTTGGCCAGTTTGACATTGCTTTTGATCATTCAGTCATCTTGCTTACATTTACATTAAAGAGGCACTTGTAGGTCAGACAAATATAACATAACAGTTATAATGAAATAACCACAAATGTCTTTTCTGTGCTCACAGCATTATCAGTTTTATTCAACCCCCAAGTGACATTCAATCTTAGTACTTAGTACAGCATCCTTTTACAGTTATAACAGCTTTTAAACGTGAAGCATAGCTTGACACAAGTGTCTTGCAGCGATCTACGGGTATCTTCGCCCATTCTTCATGGGCAAAGGCCTCCAGTTCAGTCACATTCTTAGGCTTGCGCACTGCAACTGCTTTCTTTAAGTCCCACCAGAGGTTCTCAATCGGATTTAAGTCTGGTGACTGCGATGGCCACTCCAAAATGTTCCAGCCTTTCCTCTGCAACCATGCTCTAGTGGACTTGGAGGTATGCTTGGGATCATTGTCCTGTTGAAAGGTCCAACGTCTCCCAAGCCTCAGGTGTGTGACGGACTGCATCACGTTTCCATCCAATATCTCCTGGTACTGAAGAGAATTCATGGTACCTTGCACACGCTGAAGCTTCCCTGTACCTGCAGAAGCAAAACAGCCCCAAAGCATGATTGACCCTCCACCATGCTTCACAGTAGGCAAGGTGTTCTTTTCATCATAGGCCTTGTTCTTCCTCCTCCAAACATAGCGTTGATCCATGGGCCCAAACAGTTCTAATTTTGTTTCATCAGTCCACAGAACACTATCCCACAACTTTTGTGGTTTGTCCACATGGCTTTTGGCATACTGCAGTCGACTCTTCTTATTCTTTGGAGACAGCAAGGGGGTACGCCTGGGAGTTCTGGCACGGAGGCCTTCATTACGCAGTGTGCGTCTTATTGTCTGGGCTGAAACTTCTGTACCCACATCTGACAAATCTTTTCTCAGTTCCTCAGCAGTCACACGGGGACTTCTCTCCACTCTACGCTTCAGGTAGCGCACAGCAGTCGAAGTCAGCATCTTCTTTCTGCCACGACCAGGTAGCGTTTCAACAGTGCCCTTTGCCTTGAATTTGCGAATGATGCTTCCTAAGGTGTCTCTTGGTATGTTTAACATCTTTGCAATCTTCTTATAGCCATTGCCCTTCCTGTGAAGAGAAATCACCTCTTCTCTTGTCTTCCTGGACCATTCTCTTGCCTTCACCATGTTTGTAACCACACCAGTAAATGTCTAGAAGGAGCTGAGTATCACAGTCATTTTAAAGCTGCCTAATTGGTGCTTATTATGCTTGATTGCTGCTCGGTGACATCCACAGGTGTTTTCAATACCTGATGGAAAGCACCTGTATGAACCTCTGTTCTTCAGAGTGGTAGTCTTTAAGGGGTTGAATAATTGTGGCAATGAAGAAAACCACATAAGAACCATTTACTACTGTATTACATAAACAATTGATGTCATTTTAGTTGCATTTGGGTAGTTACAACGTCCTTGTAGGATTTGATTCTGAATACAATTCCAAATGTACACTATAGTCCCTAAACCCCTTTACAGCATTGGGGGTTGAATAATTTTGGACACAACTGTATATCCATGGGAGGAATCATGCCACATTGTTGGCGTTAGTGGGAGGAATAGTCCCCCATATTTGGTGTAAAAAGAAGGAATAGTGCCTCATCATTGGTGTCAGTTGAAGGAACAGTGCTCCATAGTTGGTTTCAATGAAAGGAATAGTGCCCCATAGTTGGTGTCAGTGGGAGAAACAGTGGCACATATTTTTTTTTATCAGACAATTTTTATTTAAAACCAACTAGTTTCCAATTTTTACTTATAAAAACATAACAGAAAAAAAAAACACAGATCACCAAAAGGGAGAGCAATAAAGGTATCTGCCATGTTGGACAGGACCTTAAAGGCCCATCATTGGTGTCAGTGGTAGGAATAGTGCCCCATAGCTGGTGTCAAATTAAGAAATAGTACCCCATAGTTGGGGTAGGTGGGAGGAACAGTGGCCCATTTTGGTAGCAGTGGAAAGAAGGGTGTTCCATCATTTATAAGAGTGGGAGGACTTTTTCCCCACTGTTGGTGTCAGCAGAAGGAATAGATCAAAATGTAGTTTTCCCAACGCACTTATTCCTGGCTGTAAATAGTGTTTGGGTGCTGTAGTGACCTCTGGCTGGGAACCGCAGACAATCCAGAAAGAAAAATGTCAACAGCACACCAAGAAATCCTCAAAAGGGTCCAAAGCTTTATTTACTATCAACAGCGGCAACATTTCGGACCTGACTTGCCTGACGAAGGGGCCCTCTGAAACGTTGACGCTGTTGATAGTATGTGTCAGGGTTCCGGGTATGACCAGAGGTGTGTGGACCGACACAGGGAAACACAGACTTCAGGTATAGCGTGTAAAACAATATAATTTATTAAGGGCAACACAAACATAAACGCAGTGCAACAAACCAAACCCAAAACTAACACAAATACGTACAACAAGGTGCAACAAACCCAAACCTTAACTGATATATATATATATAAATATGGAGAACAACGTAGTCAGGCGGGCCGGGTCGGTAGCTAACGGGCAGACAAGGTAAAAGGAGTAGGCAGAAGATTGGTCAGGAGTAGCCGAGGTCGGTGCAGTCAGAGTTCAAGCAGAGTCAGGATCAGACAGGAAGCAGACAGGATGCAGGTACAGGGGCTCATGGGAACAATACACCAAGGCCCTGACTGCAAGCCTGGCCATTCCTTAAATACACCTCCTGCAATCAGCCTCAGGTAATGGCTTGACTGCAGGAGTGAGCTTCTGGCTGCTGAGAGCACCC